TCCTCCTCCTTGTGTCCATGAGGCTGCCCGGTGAAGATGGCAGAGAAGGAGCCCATGGGCAGGCCCTTGAGTTGCCCCAACCAGCCTGTTCCCGGTGGTCAGCAATTCCTAACAGAGGGGGGCAGCAGAGGGCTGATCTGGACCCCAGGTAGCTGCGCCCCTGTTCTAAGGTTGGAGGAGCCTGACCCAGGTGAGCCTGGGGCTGCCTTGTCTCCACCTCCCTCTCTACTCAGCACCCTCGACCTCCTAAGGGCTCACAGTGGGCTGCTCCCTGGAGACACTGGCTGTTTTCTGGTGGGGACCGTCTCCAGGTGGTGCACCTGGGGAGCTTCAGGCTAGAGCTTGATGTCAGGTCTTGACTTTCCACCACCAACTCTCGGCTTCTGGAGGCTGGGTCACCTGGGGTAAGGCAGAGGGTAGGGTCAGGGCCCCCTCGCATGCCTGCAGCGGCAGAGAAGGGGAGGTGGCAGGCGGGGTGGCAGGGAGGGAGGTGTGTAATCAATGTGGACGGGAGGCGGAATGAGCGATCCATCTTTTGCATGGGAGGGGAGGGAGCCGCGGCGTCCCCCCCCCCACGCACACATACACTCAATCAGGCGCTGTCAGACCTCCGGCCGCCTGGCATTTTGGTGAAGAATCTCTCAGCTAAAAATTGTTGTCAGCCCCATTTCCTCGTTATCAGTGCAAGGGCTGAGGCAGCGCCCGGGGATTAGCAGGAGCGGCGTGCGCTCGCACCCGCCATCCGCCGCCGATAACACTGGGCCTCCCGCCTCACCTCCCCATTCATCATCCTTAGCACCGACAGCCGGTCCCGGTCCCTGTCCCCATCCCCGCGGGCTTCCTCGCTCCCCACTGTGCTGCTCGGGCTGGCGACTGACCTCCCTGGGGAGCTAGCTGGGCCAGGGTTCAGCCTGGGCTTCCGAGCCCCAGAGCCACCTGTAGCTGAAGAGCTGGGCCAGCTGTAGGGGTGGCGGGTCTGGGGATGGGGGTGGGGGTGGGGGGGTTGGTCCTCAAGGAAGAGATGCCTGCTGCCTCTGTGTTCTGAGTGCTCTTTCTCCTGCTACGCTGTCAGTTGGGCTGGCGCAAGCGTCCCTGCATCAAATGGACAGTTGGCCTAAAGCTTGCTGGAGGCCTCTCCAGCCTGAGGTGAAGGTCAGCATGCGAAGGCTTGTGGGAAGGAAGAGCCAGAGGATGCCTCCTCCCAGGCCTAGGAGGAGCAGGGGGCTGAGGGCTGCATTCCCATCCCAGCAAGACCATGGAGTAGTGGCCGTCCCCAGCAGGTTTATGGCCCATTTTATGACCACTGTAATGGCCGAGGTCAAAAGCTTCAGGGAGCTGTATTCTGGGAATTATGCAAACGAGGAGCAGGCCCAGGGCCAGAGTATGGATTTTATCATTAAACCTGGGCAGGCCATGTCGTTAGTGCAGTAAAACCCACGTCATGACCACAGGTCTCAATATAAAATTATAGGGAACACAGTGGGGGAGGAGAAGCAGGGGGACCGTGGCCATGCCACCCCCTGCCACTCTAGCTCCTGAAAAAGGTGGGGCAAAGATGAAGGGCACAGGGGCCGGGGGTCCCTCTGCTGATCCTTGTCCGTGCTATTCCTGAAGCTCAGAGCCAGGAACAGGGCTCGTTGTCCTGATAAGGAAACTGAGGCCCAGCTCAGAAACGTCGAAGCACCTTGTGGTGGTAAAGCGGCAGCACTGAGATTAAGCAAAGGGAATACTGAGCCCTGGCCCCAGCTCAGAGGCAGGGACCTGAGAGCCCTGGAGGCTCCACGCACCAGACTGGGTGTTCCAGGCTAAAGGAACTGGAACCGGAAAAAAAAAATCCCTGCCATCAACTCAATGCCGACTGGTAGTGACCTTGTAGGACAGGGTAGAACTGCCCCTGAGGGTGTCTGAGACTGTAACTCTATGAACACAGGAGCAGAAAGCCCCAGCTTTCTCCCGAGAAGCAGCTTGTGGCTTCAAACTTCAGGCCTTGTGGATCGCAGCCCATCTTGTAACCACTACACTCCCAAGCTAAAGGAAACTTCGGACCTGATGTTTGCATCTCAGCTCGGGCCTCAGGCCGCGTGCCTCCTCCTGGCTCCTCTCTTACCACTTCCCCTCTACCCCTGACCTTGCCTCAAGGACCTGATTGACATAACCCCCAGGCATCCTCCTGCCTTCCTGGGAGCACCACCTCCCCAGGCATCCTGAGGCCCCTCTGCCCTCCCACAGAGCCTGCTCAAGCCTCCCGCGCTTCCTGGGCCAGAGCTACACTGAATGGAAGCTCTGGGTCCCTTTTTTTGGTTTTCCGGATAGTTTGTGATCTCCTAGACGACAAGAATGTGTTTTGTCCCTGACATCCAGTTTCTCCGAGAAGAAACCCTCACACAAAATAATTGCTCAATAATTGTTTGTTGAGTGAATAAATCAATGAACCCAAGTACAGGGATCCCAGGCTCTGTGAACCTCTGTTCCCCTACCTGTGAAAGGTAATGGCCTGAAGAATGTCTCTGGTCTCATTCATCTGAGCTCCTCCGCCTGAGTGGCTTTAGAGTCAGATCAAAGCGGTATCAGCTCCTTTCCTCTTCCAGCCGTCCTGTGGGCACCTGAGATCCAGCCACCAGGGTGATGGGAAGGGTTCCTTATTCTCCTCAGAGAGACCTAGCCACACAGGCTGGAGCCATAGCGCTCCCTCTGCGGCACTCACAAAGCTCCGCCCCCAACAAGCCAGCACCACCGGAAAGATCCCCAAACAATCTGCTCCTCAGCCTCTCTTGTCTTCCCCTCCTCTTCTCTCTCTGACTTCCTCCCTGAGCATGTGCACTACGCCAGGCCTGTGTTGTCGTGGACCTAACGATGGATAAGAGACAGTCCCTGCTCCCGGGGAACTCACAGCACATCCATCCAGCCACTCATTTCTGCCCAGTCTCTGCCTGGGCACATGCCCAAGGTACGACGTACATTTCACTTCTAGAGTTTAAGCCGTGTCTTTTGGCCACCCCCCACAATGGCACTCAGAATGAATTGCCCCTCCTTTGAGCGCTCAGGCAACTTAATTTGAGCATTGAAGAGACTTGCGAGCATCCTAAATCTTATGTTGAAAGGAGGTGGGTTCTTGGGCTCAGCCTGGACATAGTTCCTCGGGTCTAGATCATTAGAGTTAGCAAACAGAAATACAGGACATCAATTAAATTTGAATTTCAGATAAACAATGAATAATCTTTAAAAATGAGGACTTGGTGGTGTAGTGGTTATGCACTGGGGCTGCTTGTCGCAAGGTCAGCAGTTCAAAACCACCGGTGGCTCCATGGAAGTAAAATGAGGCTTTCTGCCCCTGTAAAAAGTTACGGTCTCAGGAACTCACAAGGGGCAGTTCGGCCCAGTCCTATAAGGTCACTATGAGTCAAAATTGACTCAATGACAGTGAGAGAATCTTTAATAAATATGCACCATGCAATATCTGGGATGTACTTATACTAAAAAAATCATTATCTACCTGAAATTCTAATTTCACTGAGAAGTCTGTATTTAATCTGACAGTCTTTCTAGGCAAGCATTTTCATCATCACTACATAGCCTTGATCTCTGAATTTGACCCTCTGTAGGCACCAGTGAGAAGAACGGGGGGAGAGGGGGGGCCAGGGCCAGGGGAGCTCTGAGCTCAATCTAAAGATCTCCTTTCTATAAGCAGAATGTCCATGGATAGGCATTGATGCTTCAGATTAATACAATTCTCAGCCCCCACACCTGTAAACAGAGGCTAGAGGAACACTGAGTGGAAGAAGTGGCCCTGGAGGGGACATAGCTATCCTAAGGGTATCGCTAAGCAATGCCTTCAGACTTCTTTCCCGCATGGAACTTTCAGGTTACCATCAATGACCGCGTTGGAATAACATGCAGGCTCCCAACTAGCCACCAAGTCGGCATAATGAACATTACATCCATGCTCATGCATTAGGGCTACACGATTTTGGAGGGAAAGAACCCACGATAAGTGAGACTCACAAGAAACTAAGGAGGCTATCCAAGTGAGAAGCAAGGAGATTTGAACAAGGAGAAGATAGAATTCAAGCAGAATGAACATGAGCTGGTGGCTCCATGAGGGTGGAGCGGGCGGTGAATGAAGCAAGAGAAAGGGCCTGCAGTGAAGCTAAGGTTTCTGGCTCCAGTGAATGAAGATATCACTAACTGTGCTGGGCCCTGATGAAGAAGGAGCCGGTTTGCAGGAGGAAAAGTTGAAGAACTCAACTTTGAATTGTTGAGTTCCACATTCTTGTGGGATATGGCCATGGATTAGGCATTTGGATATTAGGATCTAAGAGAACAGGGGAGGGATCTGGGGTTGAGATAGGGATTCTGGAATCAATAGGGCATGGGTGGAAGTTAGGGGGTCTAAGAGTGAACAAAATAATCCAGCGCACAGAGTGAAGAGTAAGAGGCTGAAGATAGAACCCTGGGGAGACGCTGGAAGTCCCTGGGCTGTTTTCCATCTTTCCCACTCAACTGTGAGGACCTCAAAGACAAGGGTTAGACCTGTTATCATTCAACGTCTCTCTTCTTTGCACTGGCCAGTCTCAAAGATATCGGGAAACACTTCTGAGGTAATTGCTTGAATGGGCCTACTTTCTCCCTCGTTTCTCTCTTCTCCAACAGTGGGGAAAAGGAGGGGGCGGGGCATTGGAAAGCCTGGGTGATGGGACGGTTAAGCCAAGGGATTCTTCACTAACAAGTGTAAAATTAAGTGCTCAAGGTCTGATTGCACAGAACACTGATTGTGTCCTGGTAGATTTCCAAGAGTGGCGGCTAGCGAGGGAGGCACTTTCCCTGGCCACAGCCTCTGGAGCTGCAAGGAGGAGCGGTGCTCACGGACTCTGATCCTCCCGCTCATCCCTCCTCCAGGCCAAGAAGGCCGGGGAGGTCCGCAGAATTAGGTCAGGCCGTCGGGACCCTGGTCTCCCTCCGTGACCAGCCCAGTTGATGCGTCTGTGTTCTTCCCTCACCAGGTAAGAAGAAGGCAGCTGCGTTGTTTGACAGCCAGGCCCCCGTCTGCCCCATCTGCCAGGTCCTGCTGAGGCCCAGCGAGTTGCAGGAGCATATGGAGCAGGAACTGGAACAACTGGCCCAACTGCCCGCCAGGTAAGCCACCCACCAGGTCCCAAAGACAGCCATCTGGCCCAGACCCAACCCTGAGCAAGAAAACTTGACCGTGGTGTCATCCATTCTCCGTCACGCTGCTCTCGTGCACGATTCCTCCCGTGACCCCACCGCATGTCGCCCTCCTCTAGTTTTGGTGATAGGAAGTGGGTGACCCCTTAAGTCTCAGCCTCCAAAGAGCAAAGACCAAAAACCCAAACTCACTGCCATTGAGTCAATTCCGACGTACCGGGACCCTATCGGACAGAGCTGAACTGGCCCTGTGGGTTTCTGAGACTGACTCTTTATGCGAGTAGAAAGCCGCATCTTTCTCCTGCAGAGTGCCTGGTGGTTCCAAACTGTTGACCTAATGTGTAAACGCTATGCCATCAGGGTTCTCAAAAAGCCCAGGAGCGGCTGGGAAAGGCCCAAGGCATGTCAGGATGAGGTAAAAGCAGCAGGTCCTGAGCTTGACAGCCCCATCAGAGGTCCAGCCTGTTGCAGTCAGCCAGGGAAGTGAGCCCTACCTTCTCTACGAATGCCAAGATCTAGACGCAGGACTCCCCTCCAGTGCCCCACTGTGTACACACACACACACACACACACACACACACACACACATCTAGATGGGGCCCCAGAGGATGACCTACGTCTGTCCCATGAGGTCTGAGGTCTCAGCTGGGAAGGCTGGCTGGCTGGGAGCTAGAATCTCCTGGAGGCTCTTTCGCACACGTGCCTGGCGGTCAATGCTGCCTGCACCTCAGACCTCAGCTGTCCACGGCTTGTGCTTCCTCATCACATGGCAGCCTCAGGAGAGCTGCACTTCCCAGACTGGAGCTCCAACAGCAACTGTTCTAGCCAGGGAGACAGACACAGGATCCCCGTTTATAACTTAGCCTAGGAAATCACTTATTTTTCACTCCAGCTATACTGTATTGATCAACTCTTACCAGCTCACTCACCCAGGTTCAGGAGAAGGGGATACACACCCCACTTTCTGATGGGAGGAATGGTAAGGTGACTTATACTAGAGCATGTGGGATGGGAGCTATTGTCTCAGCCACCTTTGGAAAACACAGTCCCCCAAAGGAGGGAAGAACCTGGCCCTGTCTGCCAGCTCCACCCTTGGTTCTGTTTGGGTCTACAGATTTGACTGAACCTCTCTCCTTGTCCCTCTCACCTATTCCCCTTCTGCAGGTGCAGAGGCCTAAAGGTGAATCTGATAAGATTCCTGCCCTCAAAAGCTCCTCCTAGTTTAGGGTGAGGCGAGTCAGGCAATACAAACCCTGAGAAGCACCAATCTCCTGGAGTGTGGTAGTGGTAACCCAAGCCAAACGCGAGCCCAGGACCCAGAAGATTTTCTCAGGGAAATGAAGGCCTAGCTGAGTGTTGAAGGCAGATGTATTAGTTGTATTACAACTATTGCAATGTAGCAAATTGCCCCCAAACTTAGTGGTTTAAAGCAACAAATACTCATTCCCTCACAATTACTGGGGGCCATCAATTCAATAGCAACTTAATTGGATGGTTCTGCCTTAGGATCTCCCATAGAGTTACGGTCAAGACTATAGTCATCTGAAGGTTGAACTGGGGCTGGAGGATCCATTTCCATGATGAGTCACGTACATAGCTATTGGCCCAAGGCCTCAGTCCCTCAACACATGGGTCTTTCCATGAGGCTGCACAAGTGTCCCCATGACATGGCAGCTGACCTCCCCCAGAGTGAGTGATCCAAGAGAGAAAGAACAGGCATGAAGACATGCTGCCCCCTCCCAACTTTTTTAAATAAGCTTTTATTTTGAAACGATCTTAGATTTAAAGAAAAATGGCCAAAATGCTAGAAAGTTCCCATAAACCCTTCTCTTACCTTCCTTTAATGTCAACATCTTGTGTAAAGTCAGTACACTTACCAAAAGTTGGAAGTTAATATTGACCGAAAGCTACTAAATATAGATCATTCGAATACCATCAGTTTTCTGTTTGCCCCCAATGTCCTTTCACTTTTGTTAGGTATTTATTCTTTTAGATGATAGTGTAAATGGAATGGTTTTCTGAATTTCCTTTACTGATTATTCATTGCTGGTACATTGAAACACAACTGATGTGTACATGTTGATCTTGCAACTTTACTGAACTCATTCATCAGCTGTAACAGTGTTCCTGTGACTCTTCAGGAGTGTCTGTATGGCGGGTCATATCGTCTGTGAATAGAAGTAGTTTTACTATTTCCTTTCCAGTTTGGATGCCTTTGACTTATTTTTCTAGCCTGATTGCTCCGACTAGAACAGCCAGTACAATATTGAACAACAGCGTGAAAGTGAGCCTTATCTCATTCCTGATTTAAGAAGGAAAGCTTTCAATCTTCTATCATTGAGTATGATGGCCATTGTGTTAGTTACATGTTTTGTCATGTTGAGGAATTTCCCTCCTATTCCTAGTTTCTTGAGCATTTTTTATCAGGGAAGGGTGTTGGGTTTTGTCACATCCCTTTTCTCCATCAACATTATAATGCCCACCCCCTTCATTCTGTTAATGTGGAATATTACAGTGATTGAACCACCCTTGCATCCCTGGGATAAATCCCACTTGGTCTTAATTTATGAACCTTTTACTATTATGTTAAATTCCATTTGCTGGCATTTTGTTGAGGATCTTTGCATCTATGTTCCTAAAGAATGTTGGTCTGCAGTTGTCATTTTGTGTGGTGTCTTTATCTGGCTTTGAAATCAGGGTAATGACACAATGCCTTTATGACCTCATCTTGGAAGTCACATACTGTCATTTCTGCAATATTCTGTTCACTAGAGGCAAGACACCAAATCGAGCTCACATTCGAGAGAGAGGAATTGTGGTGTATCTCTGAAAGAAAGGAGTCTCGAAGAATTTATGGATATACCTTAAAACTACTATAATAAGCTATGCTAATGATAATAATAACTCCTTGCTGGGCACCTGTATTAATCTGGGTACTTTGGAGAAACAAATCCACAGCAACTCATGTATAAGAGAGAGTTTTATGTAAAGAAAATGTGCATCACGAAAACATCCCAACCCAATGCTGCCCAAGCCCATAAGTCCAACATTAATCCATTAACCCAACACCAGTCCACAAAGTCCTCCACCTCACAAAACAGAGGCAATGATGCCGACTGCAGGAGGAAAGCTGAGTCAGTGAACGAACAAGCATCTCAGCACTAGCAGGGGTCTTCACACGGCTGCTCCAGCACCCAGGGCTGCATCGGGATAGGTCCATGTAGCTTCTCCTTGGGGATGTCTTGTAGGAAGTCAATCTTGCAAGCTGAAGCAGGGAACTGCTAAGGCAGCTGCACCCGGTGCAACCATCACAAAACAAGAGACCCGAGAACTAGAAAGGCGAGGCTTCACCACCCATTTATCCCTCCGCCTTTCAATTAGCCCCACATGTGATTATCGGCCAGGCTGGCACAATTAACTAACTCAGCACCCATATGTGCCAAGCACCTCACATTGCATGAATTTACTTAATCTTCACAGCGGTTCTCTGAGATAGGTCATAATTATCACTCCCGTTTTACAGAGGAGGAGACTGAGGTACAGAGGAATTAAGTGACTTGCCCAAGGTTGCGCTCGCAAAGAGTGAAGCCTGGACTCAAACTCCACTGCGCCTGCTCCTTCCTTCCTTCCTGTCCCCTGGCCAAGGACTAGCCTGGCAGGAGCGGAGAAAGATGCCCTAGTGGGGGACTAAGAACATCCAGGAGCTCAGATGAGGCTGGATCCAGAATTCACCTTCTGCAGCTGAATTCTGCACCTCAGGTCCTCCGGGTCCAGGAGCGTTACTGCGTAAACCAGCCAATGGAGAAGTTCCGCTCAGAAAGAATAGAGGAGAGGAGTCGAGGTGGAAGGACCTGGGGAGTCTTGTAAAGGGCCCCTAAGGATCAGAGAATGGGTCCCCTAAGTGCTCATGCTGCCCCCTCAGCCTAGTGCCCTTGCCCCCAGCCCTGGAACTGCCCAGAACACCCACTCTGCCTGTAGTCTTGCTCCACTACCACCCCCAATCCCCTCTCAGAACATCCCCAACTCCCCCCCGCCCATGTCCCCCTCCCCGCCCAGAGCCCCTACATCCCTCCCTAGACCTAGTGACCCCCCACTGCATGCTCCCCAGTCTGGCCGGGCCGCGCTGACACCCTCACGCCAACCCCAGCCCCCCCGCCCCCGCCACGTGCACGCCCTACGCCCCGGCACGCCCCCCGCCCCCAACCGGGTGTCTGACAGCCGGACAGCGGGATCTGCACAGCAAGTGAAATTCCCGTCGGATCGATAAAGCCGAAGCGCTGGCGGCGACGGGTCGATGGTTTTATCTGTCTCGGCCCCGCCGCGCCGGGCGCGCTGACAGTCCGGCCGGCCGGCAAAGGCGTTCAAGGGCAGCCGCGCCCGCCGCCCCTCCCTGTGGCCGCGCGCCCACCGGACTGCGCGCTGGACCGGCCCGCTGCCGCCGCCGCCCTGATTTATCTGGATTTTTAATTGGAAAAAATTTGCGAATTAATTGATTTCAGGAACTTGCCAATTAACATTGTAATTGGGTGCGTGATAAATTCCCAAGGAGCGTGTCAGCTCCCTCCGGGCTGATGGGCTGGTGGGTCGCACGGGCGGGTGGGCAGCGCGGGGAGGGCCCCTGCCTCGGCTGCCCTCGCCCCGGGAGGCGGAGAGAGAAAGATGAGGCGCCAGCGCTCCGGAAGCCCCTCCCCTGCCCCCTCCCACGGTGAGCCCCCTGAGCAGGGAGGGCCCTTCGACCGGCCATTTCACCGAGGGGAAACTGAGCCCTGCTGGAGCGCAGAGCCGCGTGCGCCTGGTTCGGAGCAGAGCCCCAGGAGGGTGTTCCCCACCCTTGCTAGGTGGCTTTCTCCCCAGCTCCCCCAGTCTCCCCTCTACCCTCCCCTCCCCCTCTAACCCTACTTTGGCCCCCACAGCCCAGCCAGCTCCAGATTTTGTGTCCCTCCATCTCTGGGGGACATCTCTCCCTTCCACATGGGGGTGACTGGAGCAGCTGCTCCAAGCAAGCCTGTGTCCGAAACCCTGACTGACCGGACCCACCGGCAACAGGCTATCTGACACACCTGAGGGCCCACAGGGACCTTCCAGCTCCCAGCCTGGGGCTGGGTGACTTTTCATGGGGGCAGACCCTATCTACACGCAACACACATCACTCCAGTCACACCTCGATGGGCTCCCACGTACACATCCCCGAAACAGTCACCTTCGCGCTCTGCTCGTTCCCCCAGGCGCGAGGACACAGAGAAGCAAGACCAGGCAGATCTCCCCACGGCCAACACTTCCACTTCTCAAAGTACTGCTACGTTTTGAGATCAGAGCTGTGCTCACACCCAGACACAAGACCCGATGTACACTTCACCCACTCCTTTCCGAACCCCACCCCACCCCCACCCCGGGGATGTGGCTAATTAGAGCCCAGAGGGCACACTGCCGAGGAGGAGACCCTTCAATAGAAAGATGCCCTAGATGTAGGGGGGAGGGGTGTGGCTCGGAATACTGATGCGCCTGATTGAGGCTGGACCAGAGCTCAGTTGTAGCAGAATCACTCTGCCTAGGGAGTGGGATGGGAATAGAGTGGACACAAGGAGGCACTGAGCAGGCAGGGTAGGCCCTAGGAGAAAACGATGAGGCTGACCTGGGACAAGGCCAGTGGCAGTGGGAACAAAGAGGGAATGGTGAGACTTGGTGGAGGAAGCAGCAAGGAGACTTAGCTGATTGCTTGTGGGGTTGGGGAGGAGCCTTCTGACTTGGGAGGTGTCTGAAGAAAAGGAGACCAAGAGAGGCAGGGCTCTGGGTAGGCCCAACCTAGGAATGCGAGGGAATGGGCATTGGGTATGTGGGTGCAGACAGGCAGAGGCATAGCCCGGAGCTGAAGATGAAGGTAGTGGGGGCAGGGGGATCCCCAGACTTCCCTGGCCCCCAAACAAAGAGTTTCTACCCAGAGAGGGAGGATTCCACAAAGGTTAGAGTGGGGCTTGGCTTGGCAGGACCTTAGCTCAGAGACTTGATCTGGGAAACTTCCAGATCTGGCCTCTGGGCTGGGAAGCCACCTTCCAGGTCAATGCTTTAAACGGGCTGGAAGAAGCCAGAGGGAGGCTGGGAAACTGTAGAGGAGAGCCGGGGTGTGTAGATGGCCCCCACCCCCACTTAAGCCTTATTTAAGGCCGGCCTCGGTGTTTGGTTGGGTAATGAACTAGATAAACAATTCCCCAAATAGATTAAAACGAAGTGTAAGTTACAAAGGGGGCTGGTGATGATGGTTTATTCCCGGGCAGCGCACCATTTCTTTATTTCCAAGGATAATTCAGTGTAAATCACCTTAATTAAAAGTGTCAGCCCAGCCCATGAATATTGTACTTAGGAACGCGTTTCCTGGGTCCCAGTTATAATTTAAAACCCATGGATCACTAGGCAGGGAGTGACTGAGCAAGGGAGGAAATCATTGGGGGCGGGCTGTGGAAACAAGGAGGGGCGGAAGGCAGAGCTGATGGGCTGGGCGGGAGCCAGGCTGCCCGCAGATCCACAGGCAGACCTCTCCTCTCCCCTCCACTGCAGGCCCTTCCTTCAGAAGCCTTTAGCGGTGTGGAGGAGGGTGCAAGCAAACTGGCAGATCCGCTTGTGGGGTGAAAAGTCGGGGAGGGGTGTCCTTGCTCAGAGAGAGGGACGGGGTCTGGCAGAGTGCCACTGAAATGTGAGAGAAAGGGGAAAGGGTTACACTCGGGAGCAATCCAGAAGATTGGCAGGGCTGGTGGCTGGACATTTCGATCCTGAATGGCCCTGTTTCTGTTCACCAGCAGAGTCAACTGAAGCCCAGAGGCAGCAGGTGGCCTCCCCAGAGTCACACCACAAGTGGGTAGCGAAAAAGCAGCCCAGCGCTCCACTCTCTGCTAAGCTTTGAGCATCCTCCAGGGAGGCCGTGTAGGCCAGGAAAATGTAGCACTTGAGGCTCAGTCAGACATCAACTGAAATCCCAGCCCTGTCACAGACGGTGTGACTGTCGAAGTGTCGTCACCTAACCTCTCCTAGTCAACGTCGGAAGGGTTGTGTGAAGGTTAAACGAGATCGCACACATGCAGCGCCTAGCCCGTGCCTGACGTATGTCATGGTCTCATAATATTTGCTCCTTTGCTTTGCTTTTCCAGCCCAGCCTCAGATGATAGTCATACCATAGTTCCAGGAAGAGGCGAGAACAGTCTCACCTGTATCGGTGGATGCTTCATTTCCTAGCTGTAGGTCCAGCCCAGCACCCAGCATAAAGGGGACGCCAGCATGTTTGCTGAGTGAAGAAATGATAAAAACAATGAACTCACAAACTAGCAGCTTGCCTCCCTGCCTGTGTCCCCAGTGCCTGGAATCCAAGGGTCATTGATGGACAAAGTGTAATTGAGTAGAAGCTGGCCTGGCTGACCCTCTGACTCAGTGATGGCTCAGGCTTAGCCTCACCCTGCTGCCTAGGCTGGTAGCCTCTGCTGTGTGATGTACGTGTGTCTGTCTGGGTGTATGTCAGTGCATGCAGCTATTTATCTATGCATGTGTGTACGCAGGCATAGCCACGTCCAGGCTTGTGTGACTGTTGTCAATATGTCGTTATGTCTCTGGGAATATAGGCTCCGTGTGCATCTGTATGCATGTCTGAGCCTCCAGGCATGACCGCATGTATCTTTGTGACTTGGCAGAATTATAGAGGGTCTGCGGATATATGTGTATCTGCCTTTATACCAGGGTTTCTCAACCTCGGAACTATTGACATTTGGGGCTGGATTATCCTTTGCTGTGAGGGCTGTCCTGTGCATTGTAAGTAAGGTGTTTCACAGTATCCTCGCCCTGACTCCCTGGAAGCCAATAGCAATCTCTTCTCTCCAGTTGTGACAAGCAAAACCGCCTTCAGACATTGCCAGACATCCCCTGGGGGTCAGAATCACTCCAGGTTGAATACCAGGACTCTATCTGAATCTGCCTGTGGCTTTGCTCTCACGTTGGGCGTGTCCTGTGAATACCCGTGCTGATCTGAGTGTCTCCCGTGTACACGCTCTGTGTGACCATATGTGCCCGTGTGTTCTGCCTTGGGTGTGCCTGTGGCTTTTGTGCTTTCTGGATCCCTCCGGCGTGCTCTCGATCTGTACCCTGTCTGTGTGTCTGTGCGAGGACCCCTGGGTGACAGGGCTGTCTCCTTCCACGCTTGTATCAGCCAGCACGTGTGTGTGTGTGTGTGTGAGAGAGAGAGAGCACAGATGTGGCGGGTGTACTGCGGGCGGGTGCCGGGGAGGGAGGGACAGGAGCAGGGATATTAATGTTTCTGAAGTGGATCTGATTTGATACGTCTTGTTCCATTGTCAGCATCTGTTTAGCAGGGATTTGTAATACTTTGTGGCTCTGGATCACTCATGCTTAGCGCGGGATGTGGCCTTGCATACCAATTTTGTTATTAAACACAGTCCTCGCCTCCCCCACAGCCCATCCATCACTTCCCTCCCCCGCCCCCGCCTGCTCCAAGCCGCCCACCATATTTCAGGGCCGGGCTCCCGACTACCCACCCGCCATGCCCGATGCCGGAGGGCCTGGGGCTGACAAATTGAATCAGGGGGAGATCATTCCTGGCCTAACGCAGTTTGTAGCGTGTTGGAGAGAAAATTGACAAGAGCCATGTCAGCTCCATCACCCCAATCCCACAGGAGTTAAGAGCTAAGGCTGGGGGTACGGGGTGGAGGGAGGGGGACATCCAGGACAGGCAGAATCCTGACACCAGGTGTCAAAGAAAGCCCCCCTTCTGAGATCTTTTGGTAAGGTACCCATGCCTAGTGTCTGTGGCCCCTTCCCAGGGTCCAGCGCTGGCCCTTGACCCTGATGGAGGCTAAGCCAGGCAGGGCTGGCTGGCTGGGTTCCAAGGAATTGCATGTAGCTCCCCTGAGCGGGGCTGAGGCAGGCGGACTGCCTTCTCTCTTGGGGTCCTCTCCTAACCCTACCACTGCATGGCCTGAGCAGCAGGTGGAACGGTCACCCTGTTCTCTTCTTTTTTGGCAGCAAGAATTCCCTTCTGAAGGATGCCATGGCTCCAGGAACCCCCAAGGTAGGTGGTCCATTGTGTGTTTGCTCCCTGCCCATTCAGATGTCAGCGACACCCCCCCCACCCCACCCCACCCCACACACACACACTGGTTCCTCCTGAAAACTGGGATCTGAACTTATGCCGGAGGCCTTGGACTGCTCTGTGTGGAAGAGTAGGTATAGTGTGAGCGAGGGTGTGTTCATGTGACTGCCTCCTCTTCTAGCCTGAAAGGGAGTCAGAGCCAAGAAGGGCCTGGGGAGTGGAGAGGGGGCACCCAGACACTGAGGCTAGAAAGAGCTGTAGCAGAAGAAAAATATAGACATATGCAGGTCAAGACCGAGAGCCTTAGAAAACAGACGTGTGTGTGTGTGTGTGTGTGTGTGTGTGTGTGTGTCACATCAGGGAAGAGGCTGAGCTCTGGGGGAGCTGGTCAGCCCTTCAGATCAGACACTTTGGGAGAGAGGCTAGGGAGTCACAGACGGGAGAGCGTGAAGGTCAAGTCGTTTGCCCCAGGGAAGTGACCAGAGAAGTCTTAGCATACTGACAAGAACTCCCATAGGCAGCCAGAGAGGCACATGACACTGCTTCCTGCAAAGGAGACAGCTTTGAAAACGGGGAGCTGGGCAGCACAACTAAGCCCACCCTTAGTGGGTATTCCCTCCTCCCCCGGTGCTGAGGCCGCCTCTTTCTTATATGTCCTCCCAGTACAGTACGGGCAGGGCGGGAGGAATGAGTCTTGCAGCCTTGGGGATGGACAAAGGCAGTGAAGAGAGGGTATAGAGAGATTAGGGTAAATGCCAGCAAGAGAAGACCTGCCCTGGGGGCAAGGAGGGATGGTGCAGGTTGGAGGGCACATAAGAGCATGGTATCCAGGAGGCTGGGGGGCGGGCAGGAGGGGGCAAATTTCCAAGGGTTAAGAGTGGCCAACAGTCAAACAGGGGGATGAGGGAGAAGGAACCATTGTACTTAGAATTGTAAAGCCACTGGGGAGGTGTCAGGGAGCCGTCTTGGGGAAAAGGAGCCAGAGTAACCAGGCTCACCTCCGTGGGTGGGCCCAGATGCCCCATAGACCTTGACAGCAGCATGGGAGTGGACGGGCACCTTCATGCCGGAGCTGGCCCAAGGAAGCATGCGGAGAGCCACCTTAGCTTGCTACAGGCTGCTCTGAGGAGGCGAATCGCCCCAGCATCCCTGCAGAAGGTGGGGGTGTGGTGTGAACAGAGGTGGGGAGCCACACCCGCGGAGGGCTGAGTAGGATTCCCGGACTGCGGTTTAGGAATGCCTGGATAACCTTGGGAAAGGCGACTACTGACAGCAGGCTCCTGAGCATGGCTGGCAGGTGGGGGGAAGTAGACCCCGGTGAGACCAGTGTTCAAAGCACACACCCTGGGCTACACCCCCCATGTCCACACATGCACAGGTGCAGATCAGAACACACACTTGGGGAGTCTGACGTACATGCCACACCATGGCCATCCTGATCATCCCAATCACACACTGAGAAGAGGGACGGTTTGCGTGCCCTCTTTGGGGTGCATAAGCACATCTCCCAAACTGCGTACCTCACCCTCAGCCTTGACCCAGGCACCAGGGAACCAGGGCCCGGGTGGAAGAGCGAGGAGAGAAAAAGAAGATTCCAACCAGAGACTGTGAGGATGGGAGAAGGCGGGAGGGGGGAGGAGAAGAGGGCGAGCGGGGCCTTAGACAAGATTGATGGCCTCGTTGCCATTAAGAAAAAAATTAGCCGGTGGCGGCTATCATATTAAAGGGTGAAGAAGCCGTGAATTATTTTCTTAAAGATCTTATCGCTTACAATGATAATTTTACCTTCCAAAAGGCCACTTTTAATGAGGCGAAGAGCCAGGCAAAAAGTCATGATTTAATGCCGGGATTTTTTTCCCCCTTCAAAACACATTTTACTGCTTTTTGGTCCATGTTTAAAAAGCGCTAGTGACCTTTTTTTATTCCGCTTGCCCCAGGTGCAACGCAGAGGCCTCTCAGGGCTGCTAACCTAGAGAGGCTGAGAGAGAAGGGCACGCTGGGGGGGCACCCCACCAGCTCAGCACCATCCTTGGGATCCAGAAGGAAGGGGACAGTGTTCGAAAGCACCTTCCTTCTGAGGTGTGGGCACCCTAGGGTGCCCATGGGGTGGGTGAAGTCCAGCCTCTTTCCTTCTCCAGTTCGCGCCCCCCGCCCCCCACCCGCAGGCTCCTGGGCTTGAGGCTAG